TTGTGAGCTTTATCTCAGGGATGTCCATTATGATAGCTGATCCACAGCCCATCTCTTTGCGTATGTGTGTCTGACAGAGAGCAAAGCTCATCACCTAGGTAAATTGCAGTTTCAGAGAGCAATAGAAGACTTACCTACTCATGCACTGTTTAATTTAGGATTAGGTAACTAAGGAAATATCAGCCCTAAAGCACAGTTTGCATGTTCTTTTGTTTTGATTGCTCTGTGAAATATCAACGTAAGATGTCTATTAGAATTTTTGCAAAAATAGTGACTTTTCAGTTTTTTAAATGTTTTTTAAGTCAAAATAATGGAGCAGGGAAAACTTTTTGGGTTAAATATGTACAAGACTTACAGTCTGAAACTGTAACTCATCATACCTGAGTATGAAATGGAAATAGAAAACAATGAGTGAATACGTTGTGGTAAATGATAGACAAAAGAGGGAAAAATCTGGGCAATATTTATAGAGTTGTTGTTAAAATTCTTTTTTTTTTTTTTTTTTTTTTTTTGAGGCAGAGTCTGGCTCTGTCACCCAGGCTGGAGTGCAGTAGTGCTATCTCGGCTCACTGCAACCTCCACCTCCAGCGTTCAAGCAATCTCCTGCCTCAGCCTATTAAGTGGTTGGGACTACAGGAATGTACCACCACGCCCAACTAATTTTTGTGTTTTTTTAGTAGAGATGGAGTTTCACCATGTTGGCCAGGCTGGTCTTGAACTTCTGATGTCAAGCAATCCACACATCTTGCCCTCCCAAAGTGCTGGGATTATAGGCGTGAGCCACCATGCCCAGAAAAAATCTCTTTTTTAATGTGTATTTGGTCATACAGGATAGAGTTTATAATCATAACAGACTACTTAATACTCAAATTTAACTATTTCTGTAATTCTTAAATGTTAGATTCCTTGTCTTTTCAATTTTCCCGATTGACATTTTAAAAATAAAAGTATATTTATCTTAAACTAATGAGAATCTAACACGTTTTACTATTATTTTACAAATTAGGATTCTGGGACTCAAGGAGGATAACTGATTTGTCTAAAGCAGTATGACTAATATATATGGCAGAGAGTTTGGCTAAAATGTGATATTCTTGTTGCCAAAACTCATTATTTTCTAACCTCAAAAATGTCCTCTTCCCATGAATCCCTGTGGCCTTTTGCCATTCAGAATGGTTTTGGCTTAGAAGTATGAATTGATACTGACCACTTCCAAACAACGAAGTGTCCATATTTCTTTAGCTATTTCTTGGCTCTCCTTGTTGATTTCCACCATAGCCTGGGATTATGTGCAAACAGTATACATTCTGTTTTCCATTATGCAAATCTTTCAATAAGTCACAGAGCATAAGACTAGATACCAAGTGAATGTTAATACATTAATAATAATTCTCTGTATGTCAGATTTTGGAGTTATTCATTTGCACCAAGTAAACTATGTGATCTACAGCTTTCTTCTGTAGATTATAGAATTCACTTGGATCTTTCTTCAAGTCAGCATAAAATCAGAAGATTTTTTTCAAGTCTGTTTTTAAACAGACTTAACCTAATGTTTCTCGTTGATCTCAGCAAATCTGCAGAGTTGTAAAGACGTGATTAGACAGATAAGACTCATTTTTTGCAAAGAAAATCTAGTTGTTAGCCCATTGCTAGTTCTTATTCAAGAGAGAAAGCATACAGGTCATCTTGTTGAGTCCTTACCTTTTGCGTTTTAACTGCCTTGTTGTAATTAATGTTTTTGTGCCCTCTATTCTGAGATCATTCAGCGCATTTAGAATTTTGGCAAGTATTCCTTTAAATGTATTTATTTTTCTTCTTCTTTTTTTTTTTCTTTTCTTTTCTTTTCTTTTTTTTTTTTTGCTATCTTTCTAATAAAAAGAAGGTAAAGGAGAGAATAATGAGTCTTGTCATTTTCAGATCAGCACTCCTAAGTGCTGTGCTCGATTTGTGTTCCAGAATACTTGTCTTTAAATGGGGGAATGGGGTGCTATTTTTCTGCACAAACTTTTGACTAATGTGATTTTTATCAGAGCCAGTCAGAGCTAAGATCGTAAGATTGGTAAAAACTGTCACTGTGCCCATCAACATTTATTTCTGTTTTCCTAAAATCAGTTTCTTTGGTGTTTCCCATTTTCAACATGTTCCCACTTAACTCTCTTCATACCTGAAAGGTTCCAGCTGCCTCTAGTTGAAATATTTATTTATAAGAACTTTGAGAATCAAAATATTACCTTTTCCTGTAGTATTTGCTCTTATGAAAAGACAGTTTTAGAAACGGAAATATTTAACCCATAGAACAGAATCTCAAATGGTTGAGCTTTATACATGATAGTGCATAGGTGAACTCTTTCAGAGAGGTGATGGCCAGAGACAGGTGGGATTAAAAGAACGGAGTAGAAGAGATTTTTCTAGTATGTCAGCTCTTCTGCTTTATAATAACATTTGTCTGATTCTTTCTCGTCTTATATACCATTCAATTGAATTTAAACTTTTGAGAACTATTCTTAAATCTAATCCATTATTTTGGTGGTTCAATATATTGCCTTGACACATAACCACATATTGATACATAAGTACTATATATAAGTACTCTATATCAACTTTATAGGATCAGTTTTCATATGAAATTATATGACAATTATTTTTTACTTAAGTTGTTAATTATCTCCTCCTCACATCCGTTTCCTTGTCTTCTGAATTTATTGTCCACACTTTTTTAAAAAATGTGGCAATGTTATCATTTTGATTTACATGCTGTTGTAATGTGTTTTAATTAAAGGCATACCTCACGTTCTCAAATTCCTGCAGTTGCTTCCCCTTTTTCCTGTTCACATGTCCGTTAGCTTAAATTACTATACAGAGGGTTATGAGAAAGTACAGCTTACTGGGCTGACTTCCACTATGTCCCACTGACATCCTCTTAGAAGCATAGTAATTTCACTTTTGGGTAGTTAATTGGATTGTTTATTAATATTGTGTGCATTAGTGGTGGATAGCTATAGGTTACTTATTGTAAAAACTGAGTGTGACTTCCCCAAGTGTACATTAGTGGTGAATAGTTATAAGTTACTTACTGTAAAAACTGAGTGTGACTTTCCCACTCATATTTATTGTTAGTCTCTTGATAAGACAGCACAGCATCTGTAGAGCTGAACTCAGAACTTTGAAAGTTGCTTAATGTGTCATTCTTTTTCTACTTTGATTGAGTTCATTTCGCTCTTTCTTCTTGAAAGACTTTGCTTCAGAATGGAAAACTCTCTAGCAAATATATAGTATTATTTACCTGTACTGTTAAATCAAAAGCTGAGAGGTGATCCAAGCCCAGTACATTCCTCAGAGAGAGTACAGTAAAGTCTTCATTGACCTGAGGACTATCAGATCATGTTGATGGAATGTGTGTGTGTGTGTTTTTTAAAATGTAACTGTCTTTTGTTTTAACAGCTACATTTACTGTAAAGAAAGTCTGTTAAGCTGGTGTCCTTGATGCTCCTGAGCTCAGCTGAATATATGCAGCCGACTCTCTCAGCGAAAGACATCCAAAAACATATAAAGCATCTGAAAACAACAACTTCACACACAAAACAAATCAAGTCAGATTCTACAGTTTTAAATGCGTAACTTATTTCAACTTTAATACCATTTAATTCTATAGAACCAAGTTTATATAAACTGTTTTGATCTCCAGTTTCTCTATATGTTTTATTTATACCGGTTGACAATTTAAAAATAGTTTTCCATTAAATAATGTACATACTTTGATGAATAAATTACAGGAGTTTCAAGGCCACTAACTTAAGAGAATTTTTAATCGAGTATGTGTAATTGTCACATTGTCAGAGACTTCATTGAGATAAAGCAAGTACTGTGTTAAGAATTTCAGTATCTTATTAGTTCTTCGTGGGAACATTAGTTGGGCCCTTTACCTGTAACACAGTTATCTTAAATTATTAATTAGTTATATTAAATTATTTCTGTGAACATGTTATCGTGTCAATAGCAGTTCTGCAGTGTATGTGGTTCACTAGTGTGATTCATGACTACATTCCTGAGAAATGAGGTGAATAATTATAAAGAAACTTGAGACAATGTTACGAGATCCAATGGATGCTTTTCTTAAAACTGTTTTGGAACTACAGCCTCAGAGCAATGCTAGCGAGTTCAAGAGAAATTTACCAATACGTGCTTTTTCTGTTCCTAAGTCACCCAGTTTCTTAATTTGACAGTCGTTTCATGTCTCATGTGGTTTAGATTAAGCATTATATTTTTCTTGAAAAAAATTTATTTTGTAATGCCATGTTCTCCATGAATGTAAATCGTGCACTGCATGCTTCAACAACTTGATGTCTCTGTAGATCTAATTTTGGTATATTTGTATCTCAAATAATTCGCCAACTCAATATTTTGGCTTAGCAATCCAAATCAAATTGTGGTCCAAGTAGCAGGCACTCACATTGGATGTACAGAGACTTGACAAGCAATTAGCAATGAATATTTAAACGTCTTCATTACCCTTGCATGAGGAATGCAGATGGCATTTGGGAAGATGGCAACCAGAGGGCACTACTGTGAATTATGTTTCTATTATTTGGTCACCTGACTATTGGAAGACTTTCTCTGGGCTCCATGCCACTCCTATACTTCTACTGTCTGGCCAAAAATAAAGCAGACATTCCAAATGTAAAACAGGTTGCTTCCATGAAATTTCTATGCACATTTTGTGATTTGGGAAGGTTATCTCCAAGGATCCCGGCATATATCCTATAGGCATACCAAACCCAAACGCCAAGACTTTATTGGGGCTATGAGAATCGGAGTTCCTTCAAAAATCCTGCTGATCATTCCCTTAATGACTTCAGCTTAATGTGCTGAACGTGCAAAGGTGAATAAATCGACATTTCATCCTTTCCAGAAGCTAATGTATTACATACAGCCCAAGAAAATAAAATGTCTTCAAATAATTATAATTCCTAGACTGATCTCTCATTATAATTTTTTTAAAGGAAAAAACAACACTGGAGAGTCTGACTCAGCAACTGGCAGTTAAACAGAATGAAGAAGGAAAATTTAGCCATGCAATGATGGATTTCAATCTGAGTGGAGATTCTGATGGTTTGTGAAAATTGTTCATATATATTCCAATAATGCATGAAAGTGTCTATTTAGTACAATTAAAAACTGCTAAAAAAAATAGACTAGACAACCACCACATACCTGATCATTACAATAAGAGGTCACGTATACTGAGCAGTTCCCATGTGCTAAGCACCCTGCTGAGTGCTTTGCATGAATCATCTCATTTAATTCCTAGTCAACCTATGATAAGTCCCCTTGCAGAGAAAGAGTCTGAGCCTCAGGAGTTTTGATGCATTTTCCCCAGGTCACAGAGCTCTAAGTGCCACAGGCAGGAATTGAATTGAGATGGCATGATTCTAAAGCAAATGCCCTTAATCACCAGCTACCCCATCCCTCACTTCCCTATTTCTTTCCTTCTTTGTCTTTTTTTCCCCCCTTTTTTGAGACAGAGTCCTGCTTTGTAGCCCAGGCTAGAATGTAGTAATGCAGTCACAGCTTACTGCAGCCTTAGTCTCCCAGGCTCAAGTGATCCTTTCACCTCAGCATCCCGAGCAGCTAGGACTATAGATGCACGCCAACATGCCCAGCGTGTGTGTGTGTGTGTGTGTGTGTGTGTGTGTGTGTGTACGCACACACGTGCACACACGTGCGTGTATATATATATATATATATATATTTTTATATTTTTTTTTGTAGGGACAAGGACTCACTATGTTGTCCAGGCTGATCTCAAACTCCTGGGCTCAAGTGATCCTCCCACCTCAACCTCCCAAAGTGCAAGGATTACAGGTATGAGCTGCTGCACGCAGGCTCACTTCCCTTTTTCTTGTACTCAAAACAAACATTTTCACAATTTTTCTGTCAGCTCATTCTTAAGTTTCCATTTGTCAAGACGTAACCAGAATACATGGCTCAGAGGACATTTCCAGGACACTTTTTTACATTTTGGAACCCTTCTCTCTAGTGTTATATATTGCATAGTCAAGTGTCCTGCCCACTCTCTGTAACCTAACTAGAATCCAGCTGCATGGCTTTATGCTCCTCTCATAGGCCTCCAGACTTCTGTTTTCTGTATCATCTCTGAACATTCTGAACATCCACAGTGACAACAAATTAAATTGATACTCTAATTTTTAATAGCATAGCAAAGAGGGAAAAAGAAGAAAGTGCTGTTCTTATACAATACCCTGACTGGGACCATCGCCCTACCGTCAGGTAACATCCATGCTTTTTAAGTGTTCCTTTGGTGGCACAGCTCTCAACTTTGTTACTATTACGGGGAAGTTCCCTGCATACAGAAAAGAGTGCACCAGGGCAAACCAGTGAGATGCATACTTTAAGAGAGGGTCCCCTTGAATCCTCCAATATACAAGGCTCTCTACTCGGTGCCTTGGGCCAATTCTACTTTTAAGACCAGGTCTACATGAGTCAAGGGACTAAACAAACCTGAACATTGAAACACGTAATTCTATCAAAACTGAATTTCATTGAATTGGATTCACTCTGCATTTTTCTAGTCTAATGTTACAAACATTTTCTATTTTCTACTTCACTTAGCTAAGATAAACCTAGCCTGTGTACATTTAAAGAGCTTGTTTAGATTTGATGAAGACACATAATGTTCATTTTATTGCTTATGTCGCTGTAAGGTGTAGGAACAAGGAAAGGCAGATGTGCAAATGATCATTTGCTAGTTACAAGCCCATTTTAGGAAGATGTTGCCATATATTTGCACTTATTTTGTCAATAAAAGACAATTACTGGTAATAACACATTTCATAAATTTTAAGTTATATTAGCATGGTAAAATAGACCCACAGTAATCAGCATTAAAACATCAAAGTTTTTGTTGCTGTCATTAGTTAAATTCAATCATGCTTATATGTGAAATATTTTCCACTTTGCATTAAACCAAAGAGCATGTTATTAATGAGAAATATTGAGAAATTTCACCAACAGGTGTGCTGTTTTTAATGTGTCACTATAGAGGTCTTCAAATTTGGGCCATTTTGTTTGATTTGTTTCTTCAAATTTAAAAAAGAAAAAATAAGGAATGAATACAAAGCAAGAAAAGAAAAGCAGTGCTTTTGTTGATAATCCAGTCTCTAGAAATCCCCGAAGGATTTGTAAACTTTTAGGTACTACCAAAATACATCTACAGCTTTTGCGGTAATAACCAGTGAAAACCTGTCGGAGTTCTACTAGTTCTCCTTATTTTTTCTTTGCCTAAACTCAAGTATCTTAGAAGCTGTTTAATCTGCTGAAGCCATTCTGAGAAGTCGCATAAGGCTGGAGGAGTGAATGCATCTTCCAGAGCTCTTGTTGTTAACTCATGAGTTGTGTTTTATCATCTGTTTACTGATTGAAATGTAACTGTCCATGGGACTCTTTGGATAACTTTAGATATTAGGGGGGAAATTCAAAGGAAATTATTATTTTTCTTGCCTTAAACATGTGACTTTGGACTCCTTAAGAAACTAAAGTAATATAACTGTTTGTTCTTTTCCATACCATTTTTACATATATTTGGGGGGCAGACCTGTCATTGCTGTATCAGCATATGTCATGCATTTATCAGCATGTAATTTCAAAGAAAAGACAATTATTTTACAGGGAAATATCTATACTGTTTTTAACCTCAAAATTTGATGTTTTTATTTACATATGTTCAGACAGTCTTTAGGTAGCAAAAATATATCCTCCCCTATAATCATCCATTTTGCCAAATTTATTTCTGCTTCTTTACCTATTTCATATTTCTATACTACTATATGCCTATTGATTTAATCTAACTATTCTCTTTCCAAATTGTGTCAAAAATCACATTTTGGAGTTTATTGTGAGCTGTTGAAAGTAAATGGGGAAACAGTTCACTAAAAGAAAGAGAAAACAGATTAGAAATGGGTTAAAAATACAAATACAACATTTACCACTACAACACTTATCACAAAAACTTCATAAACAAGCATCTGTCTTAAGAACTAGAAGTGCCATTATCAGAAGTACTTTTGATTTTCAGATATCTTAATAGACTAAAAAATGGAATGCAAGAAAAAGTGTTACCAAAAGTTTTAACACTAACACAAAGTGGTATGTTCTGTTTTCAGGAAGTGCTGGAGTCTCAGAGTCAAGAATTTATAGGGAATCCAGAGGGCGTGGTAGCAATGAACCCCACATAAAGCGTCCAATGAATGCCTTCATGGTGTGGGCTAAAGATGAACGGAGAAAGATCCTTCAAGCCTTTCCTGACATGCACAACTCCAACATCAGCAAGATATTGGGTAAGGAAAACATTAAGAACTAAGTGACATATGGAATAAAGGCACTGTCCTGTTTCCTGAAGCTGTGGAAGGATCCTGGATTTGGAGGCCATGCAGCTCATGATATCTGCTTATCCAGAAAATAAGCATCCTCATTGAGGCTACTTCTGTTGATGAAGCATTCTATGTTCATTGGGAAATATACCATATTTCTATAGCTCATTTAACTGTTTGTTTTCATACTAATTATTTTAATGCTTTATCATCTTCAAAAATCTAGAAATATTTGTACTAAGGCTGAGAAAAAAGTTACTTTCACATGAGTCACTAGACATTGCTACTGTTCATGTGTATTCATTTCATTGCATACTATAGACAACTTATTGTATTCTTAAGGTCTCCTTCCTCTCTCATCATCCTCTGTAACAGAAGGATAAGGAGTTTTGTTTGTAGAATTTATCATGTTGTGGGAGTGAGGGTGGAGGTGGGGAAGATGTTTATTCCAGTGCTATAATTGAAAATCAGTTTTAGATTCTCAGAACATAGGAAGATGTAGAGTGTACATTTTTACGTTTATACTTTTAGTAACCTTAAGTACTAAAGACACTTTTAGTAATAATAACTTTTAATACTTTTCAGGATGATTGAAAGGAGACTTTTTTGCCATTGCAACATTCAATTTAACAGAAAACAAAGTACATATTTACTCTACCTACACAGACACTGAAGCACACAGGAAAAATGGTTGGAAAGATAGAGTGCAGATTATAAAGATACCTATTATAGAACAATTCAGGTCCCGAGGGAAAAAAAAGAGAAGATTCCATTGCTTTTGTGCCTTACCTTGACATCATTATCATTGTAATTATCATTATCTTCATCAATATCTTTGTCTTCATAATCTTCACCTTCAGGTATCCTGATGGCCAGATACTCAACAATCTAAGAAAATTTTGATTGGCCGGGTGCGGTGGCTCAAGCCTGTAATCCCAGCACTTTGGGAGGCCGAGGCGGGTGGATCACGAGGTCAAGAGATCGAGACCATCCTGGTCAACATGGTGAAACCCCGTCTCTACTAAAAATACGAAAAATTAGCTGGGCATGGTGGCGCGTGCCTGTAATCCCAGCTACTCAGGAGGCTGAGGCAGGAGAATTGCCGGAACCCAGGAGGCGGAGGTTGTGGTGAGCCGAGATCGCGCCATTGCGCTCCAGCCTGGGTAAAAAGAGCGAAACTCCGTCTCAAAAAAAAAAAGAAAATTTTGATTAATTACTCTGTCACTTCTAAGAGTTTAATGATAAAAATAGAATAGAAATATTTGATCAGAAAATGTTGGCTTTAACAAGTAACCAAATTTGTCAAAATTTATTAACGCTTTATTAAAATTCATAATGCACTTGGAATTACATGGAGTTTATAATGATAGTATCACTTTTGATTCTTTACTGATCATGTATAAATGGCTAACATATTGATGAGGGTTTTTTTTAAATTTATTTTTATTTTTTGGAGACGGAGTCTCGATTTACCACCCAGGCTGGAGTGCAGTGGTGTGATCTCAGCTCACTGCAACCTCTGCCTCCTGGATTCAAGCAATTATTCTGCCTCAGCCTCCTGAGTAGCTGGGATTAAAGGTGCAGGCCACCATACCCAACTAATTTTGTATTTTGGCCAGGCTGGTCTCAAACTTCTGACCTCAGATAATCCACCTGCCTCAGGCTCCCAAAGTGCTAGGATTACAGGTGTGAGCCACCACATCCAGCCGCATGAGTTTTTATGATCCCATATTCTCAACAAAGATACTAGATGCCACCCAGTCCACAAGGTGCCTTTGTAATGGGATCAAAACAGAAACCATTAGCCACTTAAACTTGTATCTCATTTTTCACCTAAATCTTATCTAAAAAGACGTGAACATACAAAGCTTTCAGTAGTATACATAGAAAATATGAAAATCTGTGTGTAAAAATATATATCATGCATAATCAAAAACTTGAACTGATCAAGAGGAAATCCACATTTTTTTACATCTCCACCGGTGCTGTTCTGTTTTTCCTTTTTGTGACTATATTCTACCTTCCATATGAAATTTCCTGTCTTTACAAAACTACCAGTTTTATTTGGAAAAACTCTAGAAAAGAATACTTTATGTAAGCATATTTCAAGTTTTAATATATCGGTTATTCCCAAATTAGAAATCCAAAATTGTCAGAATAAAGAACAAGTTAAATGCTAAGATTTCAAAACTGGCTTTATATTATTCAACTCATGTGTCTGAATACCAAAAAGGTGATACTCACCAATTAAAACTATCTTAACTATAAGAAATACCAGTTTTGATGAAATGATATTTTAGGAAATATAGCAAAAACCTCCGTGGAAAAGAGATGACTAGCTAAGATAATTCCCTTCTGATCTGAGGGAAAGAATATTAGAATGGCCATATGATTGTATCATAATAGACAACATGAAAGAGAATAGTGCCTAATTTCAGTCTTTCTGATGAAAATGTATTATTAAAAGATATAACATTTATATTTGGGAACAAATAAAACATTGAGGTATTTTGGACCTCAATATTTAGTCACAGCTTTAAATAAATAAGTGATCTTCAAATATCCACAAGAGCATTCTAAATGGCCCATTTCATACAAAAGTACAAAGAAAGCTTGATGTTTTCCTCTTTGCTGATTGTTTTGGATAACAGCCTCGACAGCATGCCGCTAATTCATTCTGCTTAAAACAGGCGCTTGAGCTGGGTTGACATTTTACGTAGTCTCTGGGGATCCTAGTTGACATTTTAAAGGGCTTCTAAGCATTTTATAATACCCTAAAATCTGGTTTTAATAAGCCATTCTGCTGAAATTGTTAACATAAGGAATCACCTCTTACTGCTTGGCGCTAGATCGGGGATGAGGGACATCTTTTTCTGATTAGATATACAGTAGTTGGAGTAAAATGTGTAAATTCATTACAGACCCCATGGAGATGACAATGTTCTTCAGCTCAAACTCTTCACTTTCAGTGTATTGCCAGATTTAGAAAGAAAAGGAATAATTGTAGGAACTTGTTATTCCCCTCTATTTAGAGCATCAAATATTTTTGATTGAAACTTCCTCTTTTGTCATCAGGAGGAAAACCCAATTGTCCTCTGTTTTTTTCTTCTAAAAGGCCAACCTTTTGAAAGCAGCAGGGAATAAACTCCCTGGACATCAATACAGAGTAAGCAGCCAGCCACGCCCGAATTAAGTAGATATTTTTTATCTTTTTTTGGTGATACCCAAAATGCTTTCTATCATTCTCATCAAGTGTGTTTCAGGGGTTAATTAACACCTTAACTGAATACAATGGTTATCGCACCTGCAAAGCTTGAAATCAAAACCAAACTTGTCAGTTGAACCTAACTCAAGGTTACTGTTTTGAAAATGAAAACTGGATTTACCATTACATGGAAACACTGCCCTGTACTGTCATAAAATGTAGTAGTTAGCCATTTGCCCCAATTTGTGCTTAGCTATCTTAATTCTTAGGTTTGAAAAGACTTGGAATTATTATATGGCCATATTTTAAAATGTAATTTAGGATTCAGTGATACTTTCAGGGAAATTATACTATCAAGAGTGAAACTATTTTATAATTCCCGCTCATGCCAGATTTGGAAGCCAACTTATCTTAAGAATTTACACATCTTTTATTATCCCATTTCTTGATATATACATGCATCTTTCTTTCCTCTTTTTTTATGCCAGACCAGCTTTCTTTAAGTTAGTCTAATTCCTCTTTCCACTGAAAGACCTGAAGTATTATATTCTTCCTCAATAGGATGTTCTTCTCTTTGTGATTCCCAGTAGGAGTCATTCCCGCAGCAAAGCCTTCCTGACCTGCAGAGGATTGATCTCACCTCCTTATCATATGTTCTCTTACTTTCCTGTACTTCCCACAACTATAAGGAAGATAAATTTTATCATTAAATATTTAATGTGTACTCCATGATTGAATATAAGCTTCAAAGAGACAGGAACTATAACTTCTTTATTCACTCACTACTTCATATCAGTAATTAATACAACATCATGCACATAGTAGGAATATAAAAACAACTCTCACATTCCAAGGTAGATTACTTCAAAGCATAAACATTTTCTTTCTTTGAAGAGCAAAAGCTTTTTGGCTTGTAGATAATCTAAATTTAGGGAAGGGTCTTTGGCAATTCCTATTCTAATTGAAAATGCTGGTTTCATTTTTCAATTTTGGGATAAAGATAACTAATAGATTTTACATTAGATCAACCATCGTTGATCCATTTTTCAGTGTATTCCTATTTGTGAGTTATTTATAGTAAGCTCACTTTGCACTCCCTGATCTGAAGTTCAAAAAACTGGTATAAATGGTTGGAAGAAACTCCATGAAAAGAGTTGTTCTAGTTTAATAGTGTTATAACCGTATCTTTGTTTATAAATACCCTGAGAATAACATAATGATATTCAAGTATCTTCAGAGAATAATGCTGTGCCAACAAGGAGTTTGAGATTATACCTACAAATGATATGACTTGACCAACCAACTTAATTTCGGATGATGCTATTTAAACAGAAGTTTAAGAAAGGAGTGGAAAAAGAAAACTTTATTATTTAAACCGTAACCTGAGTTTCTATTGTAAATAGAATGAATTCATACTGGCTTTCTAGATTTTGAAAAAAGTTATACCTATGTAATATCTCTTCCAATTTCTAAGGGAAAAAATTTCAACATTTCTAAGGGAAGAGATGTTGCCTCTTTCACTGCATGCTTTAATAAACATAACAGCCTATATGAGGAATTCTCTACATGTGTAGGGGAGAACCATTCAACAGTGAGCTACTTGCATTTAATATATGGTGTTATGGGTGAGTAATGAACTCATTCAAAAGCTTCTAAGATCTTACTTAGATGACATTTAAAGGCAGGTAAAAGACTATTTGGTAAGGATATCCTAGTTGTAATTTTTCGGTCTTTGTACCTTCGGGTTGAGTTGAGATGACTATTTGCAGATAAACACACACTTCATCTGCAAATAGACTTTTAACTCTTTCTTAATAAAAAGTAAACACTGTTACTACCACTTCTATTTGAAAAAAAAAAACTTTGACAAAATCAACGTTTTAAACCGTATCTAAAATGTGAATTAGCATAAACTATTTGTATTTAAGCTTCAAACTTGTCTTTTTTAATCCCAACTAAATTCACACCAAAATTAATAGTGAAAAGAGAGGGAAAAACAATTTGGGTTATTATTACTAATGCAGACTATATTGTGGGAAGTGATATCTTTGTATGTTATTGAAATTGATTTATTAAGAGAAAATCTTAGTACACTCTTACTTTAATTGTGACCTCTGCTATATTTTATATAGTAGGTGGCCATATATAGGAAATGCCATACATTATAGCACAGTTTAAGTTCTGTCAAACCTGAGTTTGAGCCACAGATCTGCCCTTCAGTAATTATGGCCCTGGCTAAGTTAGTTTGAATCTCAGTTTTCTCATCTATGTGGTACATATACACCATGGAATATTATGCAGCCATCAAAAACGATGAGTTCACGTCCTTTATAGGGACATGGATGAACCTGGAAACCATCATTCTCAGCAAACTGACACAAGAGCAGAAAATCAAACACCGTATATTCTCGCTCATAGGCGGGTGTTGAACAATGAGAACACATGGACACAGGGAGGGGAGCACTACACACTGGGGTCTGTTGGGGGGAAATGGGGGAGGGGCAGGGGGTGGGGAGGTGGGAAGAGATAGCATGGGGAGAAATGACAGATACAGGTGAGGGGACGGAAGGCAGCAAAGCACACTGCCATGTGTGTACCTGTGCAACAATCTTGCATGTTCATCACATGTACCCCAAAACCTAAATGCAATAAAAAAAAAAAAAAAAAAGAAAATAGATGGAAATGCTGTCTGTCTTATAAGATTGAGGTGAAAGTTAGGAAAGGGATGATGCATGTCAAGCTTTTAGCATAGTATCTGGCACATAGTAGTTATTCAGTCCATGTTGATTAATATTATAATTTTAATTATAATTAAAATGTTAATAAAATGAATTTTTAACTACTATCATTTTCATAAGCATAAAATACTTAAACATTTTGGGGAGGATGAGACTACATGATATATGTTAGGAACTTTTGTAGTGAAAAACATCTCCTGCATAAAATACTCAACAACTAGATAATTAGTCTGAGACTCAAAATGTGGGATAAAATATTATGTAACTTTTTTGTTCACATGTGAATTATATGATCTAATGTAGGAATGAGAAATATATTCATTAAATTATGAGCTTTTGGGTACATAATACAAAATTTTGGCTAAACTTCGAATTCAAGCCAGAAAAAAAAGAATTGCCCAGTGTTTATATCTTTAGGCACAAAACCACCACCACCTCTGTTCTTGTGGGATCTCGCTAATCAAAAACAGGTTTATGTATTTCTGGGTTTTGGTCCACATCCCTACTTCAGATTTTCTTGTTCTCAGCTATATCTCTTTTTAGAATGCTTAGAAGCTGTGCAAATTGGCATCCTAACCTTCTTTCTTCATAGGATCTCGCTGGAAAGCTATGACAAACCTCGAGAAACAGCCATATTATGAGGAGCAAGCCCGTCTCAGCAAGCAGCACCTGGAGAAGTACCCTGACTATAAGTACAAGCCCAGGCCAAAGCGCACCTGCCTCGTGGATGGCAAAAAACTGCGCATTGGTGAATACAAGGCAATCATGCGCAACAGGCGGCAGGAGATGCGGCAGTACTTCAATGTTGGGTATGGACCCTTCAGTCATTTTTCTCATGGGGCAAACTTCCTGTTATACTTAATGGGATGTGAAACATATTTGCTCAGTTGCAAAGAGGCATTTTGAAAGAGAATCTGAGCTCAGAGTATTTTCAGAGACTAACAGTCTCCCACATGGTCTTGAAAAATATATGCATATGAATCCCCTGCAAGTTCCTAGCTCTAACATGAGATTTGTTAACAACTAGTTTAAAAATAAGATAACTACAAGTAAATAATTTTGAAGCTTTCTATTAAAAACTTAGAAGTATAACTGGTTCTTTTCTTCATTGGTTTGCATTACCTCCTAAGCTTCACCATGATCAATTTTACAATGGACAACTTTGTTGAGACAATACAAAATAAAAATCATTTCGAAAGAAAAAATACTTATTTCTAAATATAGAGAGGTTAGTGAGCTATCAAGGTACATGTGTGGCCCTTGTAGGTCACACAAGCTAGGGATTATATTTAGGGCACAACAAGGTTATGAACAGGAAGTTTCATTCTGAATTGAGAACACAGCTCCGAGATGTTTTACAGTGCTCCAGTGGCAAGGTTGTTGATAGTGTTGTAGATGTTCTACAGAAATGCATTGCTTCTACAGAATTCTCTCAAACACAAAAATAAAGTCGTTCATCTTTGAAATAGAAGTTAGTTCCTAAGAGCTACTTAGAATAATAGATATTGTTCTAAATATGGGCAGAGAATAACATAAAAGCCTTTTCAAATATGCTCTGTCCCCTCCAGTTCCTTGGAAGAGGCTGCATGCTCTGTCCAGCTTCTATGATTCCTATGCAAGCACATGACTCCTCACAAAACTAAACACAAAGCCCAACAGTTCTTGGGTTAATAGTAAACATATGAATGAATAAAAACAAGCATAAACGAGCATCATCTATTCATCCCTTTCTATAGGACCAACTATGTTATTTATAGGACCAGTTGTAAAAATGAGGAGACAGAGTCTCTTGTTAAAAAGTTATTAGGAATTTTGGCCTGGTGTGGTGGCTCACACCTGTAATCCTAACACTTTGGGAGGCCGAGGTGGGTGGATCACCTGAGGTCAGGAGTTCAAGACCAGCCTGGTCAGCATGGTGAAACCCCATCTTTGTTTTTTAAAAAAAGTTATTAGATATTTCGGGTCTGTGGCAGCACAGCTTTAAAGCAAAGTGTGGGCCCTTAGTGCAGTTGCAGTTTGTACATCCTTGAAGCTGGTCCTGCTTCCTACCACTGTGAGGCTAAAGCTGTTTTTGAGACTTGGTAGACTGTGCGAATTTGTTCAGTTCTGGTGTGTTCTGGTAGGAAAGTTTTATTTTGAGAACTCTAATACTTTAGGACTTTCCTATTAAAATGTAATTATCTTTAGGTTTAATTCTAGGGAAAAATGCCATTTCTGCATGTTATAGAGAAGGAAAAATGAACTTGGAGTTAAGGACCTGGGTTCTTCTACCTCATCTTTTTGTACCCTCAGTTTTTTTTTAATAAAGCAGTAGTCACAAAACAGGATTAAGAACAAGATGGACAATACATGTAAATGTCTTTTAATCTATGAAGCACTACATAGAAGTAAGGTATTAAGGTCAAAGTTGGATACAGTTTGAAAAATGTTAGGCAATTAGATAAAATCAGTATCTTAGAATGGAACATTGCTGAGCAAATTAATTACATAGTAAAGTCCACTTCTAACAATTCACTCACCCATGATCTCTTTTTGGAAATTCCTTTCTTGACAGGCAACAAGCACAGATCCCCATAGCCACTGCCGGTGTTGTGTACCCTGGAGCCATCGCTATGGCTGGAATGCCCTCCCCTCACCTGCCCTCAGAGCACTCAAGCGTGTCTAGCAGCCCAGAGCCTGGGATGCCTGTTATCCAGAGCACTTACGGTGTGAAAGGAGAGGAGCCACATATCAAAGAAGAGATACAGTCCGAGGACATCAATGGAGAAATTTATGATGAGTACGATGAGGAAGAGGATGATCCAGATGTAGATTATGGGAGTGACAGTGAAAACCATATTGCAGGACAAGCCAACTGATAAGGGTCAAAAGATTGTTGTGACCTTAGGACTTAAAGAAGCCCTAACTGGTTCATCCTTACCAGTGGCCAAGCACATTAACTTTCTCATACACTGACTGTTACTTTAACTGTTAGTCTTAAATAGTTGGGACATCAGCTGACTAATAGACCTCAGCCTCAAAAGGCTTGGAAAGAAAAAAAAATACAACAAGCAGACAACAGTATCAACAACAAGAGATTGAAATAAGCTATGGGTAAAATAATGCCAGTAATTCAGCTGCTACATCCAAGCACTGAAGTCTTACCCGTCAACTTTTTTTTTTTTAATAAACTTTATGGCTGTTTGTTCTACAATGTTCTAGAAATTCTCACTCAGGTACACAGTGCCAACAAGTGGCTTGTGAATGTGTTTTGTTGTTTTGTGCTACAATTTTTAAAAAGAAATAAGTTTTGTTTTGTTTTTGGGGGTTTCTGGGTTTTTTCCTTTTCTTTTTCTTTTCTTTCATTTTTTTTCGTTGTAATGCACCTGACAGAAAAAAAAGAAAAATGAATTTCTCTTTACTTCTCTCCACCTTCTCCATCTCTATACTTTAAAGATGGAAGTCTGTGCATGAGGGGGAAGAGGGAAAAAGAGCCTGTTTTTAACTTACTTGCTATCCACCACAAAATAAGCAATTATTTTCTTTAGAGGACTTTCTTTATCTGTTGCACACCACACTACATCTTTGAGCAAGTGCCAAATTTGTACTGAAGTGTTGACCAAGTTCATTTTTTCCCTTTTCTTTTTCCTGTTCCTTCTTAAGTTAGGACAGTGTTATATCTTAGACAATCCCTTAGAAAACCTGAAATACCAGCAGCTGGTGAGATTTGACTTTTTTTTTTTTTTAATGGAAACTGTAGGTGCTGTTCTCAGGTGAAAAGAGAGAGAGACATAAGAAATTTAGAGAAAAATATTTTCTGATCTTGGATTTTTGTGTGTATGTATGTGTGTGATTATGGTACTAATAGGAATAACGTTGGACCATTGTGAGTTAAACCCACATCTGGGGATGAAATCCCACATCCTCCCAAGTGACTGGTCTAGAAATAATCTTGACCTTGACTTTGCACTTCAAATGACAACTTAACCAAGTATAGGGCTCAGAAATTATATTTTTAAATGTCTAATATGATTATTATTGGATGGATCAGGTGGCCCTGTGTAATAGAGGTGTGCATGTATAACATGGAAGCTACTAGCAAACTGTTCCCAGATGTCCTTTCTCCCTGGTCAGTTGGTTCTATTAATGTTTGCTACTTAGTGATTTTTGTTTTTCCTGTTGATATTTCGAGCAAAACAATCATTGTTTTCATTGAATATATTTGGCCATCTTTCAGATGAATAGAATTAGCTTATTTCTTCAACATTCCATCCTTTCCTGATCAGGAAATGAAACTGATGATTTTATAAGGTATTTTTCACCCCTCCATGAAATGAGGTGGAGGCCTTTAGCATTTCAGAAGTGTGGGCCATGTGTAGTTCATGCCATAAAAAGTAGTATTTAATTAAAAGTCATTGCAGCCCAACAAAATGGAGCCTGGTTGCACCCAGGGATCCTTGCCACTGCTCTTCCCTTGCTGTCAGATGAATCACTGAAGTCCATCTTCGGTTCGAACAGAGTGTTTGTGAAGAGCAACAACTGAATGTGATGGGACTGCTTATGTAGATTTTGCCAGCCAAACGCCAAGGCAGTTGTAGGGCCTGTACAAATAAATGCAAAATCATTTCAAGTCAATTGCCATTATTTGTATTGAAGTATCAGATAGCAAATACTGCAACTAGTAGCTCGATGTGCTATAGTTTTCATTCAAGTCATCATTTTCCTATTCCACCCCCACTAAACACCACCCTAAAGTTGGATTTTTACATATAAGTAAAGAAAAGAATTCCTTTTATTTTTCTCTCTCTCAGAAGACTTGCTCTGGGGTTTTGCTTGGAGGAGCTGATCATATCCTGCATGTCAGAGATTTCGTTATGTTTGTTTTTCCTGTTTTTGATGACTTTATTTTCATTTGAACTGCCTCTTTTTGCTAGTGTTGTAATAATGATGATGATGATAAAATAATAATAATAGTAATAATAATAATGGTCAGCTGTTCCCAGATTAGTAAGTTATGTATAATTTATTTTATTTCTCCCCTTCTATTTTATTCTGCTCCAATTTGGAAGTGCAGCCAATAAGCTGTTAGATATTTAAAACAAATTTCCATCTCCAATTCATATATGTATGCATATGTATATATATATATATGTGTGTATGTGCATATATATATATATATATATATATATATATACACACACATACACATACACACATTTACCCACACAATTTTACTTCTCCTTCCATAAGTTTTCTCCTTTTTAAGAATTTTGGCCCCAACAATATCAGTTCTGATGTTTAAAACAAAGGAGTGAATTCATAGGAGGGTCGTGTTCAATCTTAATTAACTTATGCTCTCATCACTCATTTTAGTTATTTAATTGCCACAGTCATCTAGAGCCAATTTTTTTTTTGTTTTTGTTTGTTTTGTTTTTAAGCACTCTGGATAAGGAAAAACTAGACACTTGTTTTTATATCATTATTATGTACAATGTGAAAACAGATTTTTAAAAAATTTGTTCTCTGTCTTTGTTAACAAATTCCTTCTGATTAATGTGGGTTCACCTCTCACGTTTGCTGGATACTTACTTCACACCATGTTATAAAAGAGGCTTTGTTTTCATTTCATGACTTTGGGCTACAAGAATACTTTGTTTTAGCTCCAGGTAGATGCCATTGAAGGCATTCATGGCTGAAACCAATAACACAACAGTGAATTGACAACAATTCTGTTTAGTCTTTTTTTTGTTTTACTTTGTTTTATTTGAAGGGGAAAACAAAATTGTTAATGGTGACTTTTAACTGCTGAAATTCTAAAGTTAATTTTAGCTAGGTTTATGTGTGAGACTAAACTGTGCATGAACTGAAACAAAAAGCAGGTTCATAGCCCTGCATTCTGTTCTCTTGTTCTGATGGTTAATTCACTGGATATCAAATTTTCTTTGCCCTAGTTTTCCCCAAAACAAAAGCAAAAATAGTTGTATTCATGTTGAAAGTGCTTTGAAATCACTTGGTAAAAGGTGCTATGAATAGCAACTTACTGTGTTACTACATTGCCTTTTTGGCATTTGGTTGATTTATAATTTTGGTCAAGGATCCTAAAACCCTGTATTCTTTTTCTGTGCCCCATAATGACCAAAAAAGATAAAGAAAATGAGAGTAAGATCAAAAGATCAAGCTAAAACAGTCTCCCTCCTCTCTGCTTTTTTACCTACCTGTTCACACTTTATCTCTTTCCCTTTCTCTCTCTCTGTTACACACACACACACACACACACACACATACACATTTGCCCCAATACTGAGAAATAGTCTTGCCAGAATTCTGGTTTTTATAGTTGTTGTAATCAGTTTCTCTAAAAATAGTCATGTTTTTGTATGAATTTAAGAGAACATCACTGGAGAAAATAAAGTTACTCGTTTATAATTACTAATAATAACTTAGTGATAAAGTTACTACAATTGGATAAAATATAAAACTATTCTTCAGTTTATTTGTACCTAAATTAGTTAAGTCCATTTTTAAAGTTCATTTGGCATCTGCAGTTAAGAGTTAACCACGTATAAAATCACTCCCAAAGAACATAATCATCATTGTTAAAACCAAATCCTCTTATAAAGAACAAATATAAAAAAGTTTTCTTTGGTGAAACTGTTTTATAGTTTTGATTTCTGGAGTAGAATTTTACCTTAATTCATTTAGAGAAAATTAACCATTTTATGGTCCAACTTCAGATATTTTCTTAATTCAGAAGCTGTGATTGTTCCCAGAAGAAACCTCTTATAATATCACATTTAAAACATAAAAAATAATTACACTTTCAATCATTCTAATGGGTAAATTATTGAATTGTAATAAACAACTGTATATTTACAAACAGGTTTATAAGATATTTGTCTATCAAATTAATAGTAAAATAAAACTTACGGGGTCTGCAAGGAAAACTATGAAGGCCACTTAAAGTGGTTCAGGTATCTCTTTGTCTTGTAGGGCATAGCTGTTGGTTTAGCCAGGCTTTTCAAGTATTTAATTTTAAAGTTTCCTATAACTATCAACTTCCCAGGTTGAAGATGATGTGCTGAGTTTCCTACTGATCGATTCCTGTCCTTCCCAGTGTTTCTGTCACTGGTTCACTAAAACAGTATTTATATAGCTCCACTGGCTCTAAAGCTCTTAGTCCTTCTAACATTTTGAATTTTACAAGTAGAAATGGAAAAAAATGTAGAAAAGAGACAATCAAATGCCTGGAGCTTAAAACAAAGTATGTGCAACCTACCATCTCACTTGAAATTTAATAAAATAAATAATTATGTAAATATAACATAGAGTTATAGATTTATATTTTGTTCATAACACATAGTGTAATATAAGTTGTATATTTTCATGTTTTTGGTTTTATGTTATCATTCATGCCACAATAAAAATAAAACAGGAGTTTATGTGCTCTTAAAAAAAAGATGTGGGTTGCCACCAACCTGTTTTTCGTTTTTTTATTTTATTTTATTTTGTTTTTTTGCATTCTCCTTTTTCAGTATTACTGCCATGCAAGGCACCAATAAAAACAGCAAATGTGTTCTTTACCTATTATACTGTGTTTCTTTTCACAATTATTGTTATGAGGGTGTAATTCTTAGTTTTGTTATGAAAAGAACAAAAATATGGAAATTAAATCTTGTTTTTTATATAATTAACCCCACCTACTGACTTTGAGAACTAAAGGTTTAATTTTTAGTTGTGGACATTCCCAGAAAGACAGTCAGGACTTAATATAATGTATCTCACTCAGACCGATCTAGCTTCACTATACTGTCAAAAGATACTCTTCTTATATGTAATTGACTCAATACAATTGAAAACCCGACAGTCTAAAGCACCTTTAATATTGTTGTTTTCCCTGGCTGGACACTCTCCTTGGGTTGGGGTTGGGGTTGGGGTTGGGGGGTTTCTATGCTTTAGAATTGTGCTTTATTCTTTTGTTTGTATAGAAGATTTATAAATTTCAGATCATGAAATTACTAAGAACTATAAATAATTTTCACCTCGCTGGTATCTAATTTTGGATAATGGATATTTCTGAATTGTTTAACATTAGCCTCTGAGTTCTACCTTAAACATTTTTAGTGAATGTTAAAAACAAGAAGTCTCCTTTCCTTTCAATGGCCATTTTTGCTTGTCTCTTCCACCATAATGTTTTTCTTCCTTGATAGTTCTATATGTAATAATTTCATATGAGGGTGTTTGGTTGATTGGTTGGTTGGGTGGGTGGGTGGGTTTTTTAAATAGGTATCAAGACAATGGGTCAGGTAAGATTTGGTTCAGATGAATACAAGTATATAAAAGGGTTTATTCTACAAACACTGCCCACTATATCCCTGAACAGAAGCATTTTACAAAATCTGGTCCACGAACCACCTGCTTCAGAATTAACAGTGAAAAATGTAGATTCCTGGGCCCAACCCCAGATGTAGTGAATCAGAATCTCTGGGGATAGAACAAAGCTTTTGCTATTTAAAAGCTCTAAGTAATTCGGCATACTCTCATATTCCAAAACAACCAGGAGGTGGGGATGGTATTTTTCTCTTCCTCTGCCTACCTTTTCTTTGCATGTCAAATTCTGCAGCTTCTGGGGCCTACCATACTTTCTCTTTAGGCCTCTGAGAAAACCTTGAAACTGTCAGTAAGTAGGCAACGGTTTGAGGTTTTATGGCACTCCCAGTCCCTCTCCTTTATTGTTTGGAGGGCATTTTGTCCATCAGAACCACATTGCCACTCCTTGTTTCCCTGTCTTGTGTTGCCCATCATGGCAAAGCAGTAGACTTCAGAGACTCCAGGCAAGTGGAACACTAAAAATACAACAAACATATAAAACTGCAACCCACTGAATATTTGCAAAACAAATTGAGGTTCTTTGAAAGGAAAATATCCATTGTAGGAATTGAGAAGTAAACATTCTGTACAGTGTTTATAATAGACCACCTATGGTTGCATTGGTCGTGAACTCATCCTACATTTCTTCAGGAAATAACATTACCAGGATATGCTAAGTATATGTGGATGGTGAAAATCTTGCCTGTTTAGGAAACTTGGCTCACCAAGGTGGAAAGCCCCAACCACCACCCTCTTTCTTCTACCAAATAAAGTATACTTGGAAACATTCTTTTCTTGTTTTTTGTTTGTTTGTTTTGTTTTTAGTTTCTTATGTAATATTTAGAACTAGCATATAAGAATAGATCGTTTTCCTATTGCCAATGCCTTGAACATCAAAAACAATACTGGCAATAGTGAAAAGAAGATATCTTTTTTTAAAATTTCAGTTTTGCCAATTTTAGTTGCTGGTGTTTGAAGTTCACGTAAGTGTTTTTAAAATCATTATACTGTCATTCTTACCAAATTTAAAAGTTCTGAAGTCATCTCTGTAACTTCACATCATCATTGAAACCTCAGTTATAACAATGGAGGTGAAGGTAAGCATGAATTAGTTCAATGTCTGATTTAAAGAATGTTTATGAAAAAAAATCCAATCTATTTTCTTGAGTTTCTAAAGCAATCTAATAGCTAGCTGAGAAGACCTGTTTTATAAGTAAGGATTGTAATTAGTATGTAAAGTGTATGCAATAGTATTGCTAAAAGCTCTCTAAAATAGTATGTTTTCTTAAGGAGGCTAACATCTGTCCTACAATCTTAGTTATTCTACCAATTTGCTTAGCAAACTACTTTTACCACAAAGAATGATTGGTTGAGCTCTGTTAATAATATATGATCATTTCCAATTAGGTCCAGATACATGAGATTCTA